AATGTTTTAATCAAGTTCTATACTATGTGGTATAGACTATTAATGTTAACAATACTTGAACGAATGAGAAATACCAACATTAATTAGCAAATGCTTCCTACGAGAACTAATACTCAGTTCAAGTGTATAGTGTTTTGAGATTTGTGGGAGTTTGGGTGGAACCACAAAAATAAAAGTATGAAGGTGTAAGTGATCATTTCTGCTCTGGGGTCAGTCTGACTAAGCCGAGAGTTTGTTGATATGAGGAGAAGTAAGCCTTTTATCAAGGACAATGTTCTTCAGATTAAGGAGCCACTCACTCCCTGATAGGTACAAGGGAGCCACTGTAAATTCTTTGTTCTTTGGCAGTGAGAAGCTTGGGTTTGGTTCTGAAATATTTGTTAAAAACCCTTTGGAGTGTGGCCTTGATTTAGAATGTTAGGTTATCTTGAGAGATAGTGATGAGTTAAGTTAGAGCCTTAGCCATACTATTGACTTGAGTGAAAGGGTAAGTTGCACCATATAAATTTGACTATAATTCTTTAAAATCTCCTATGTTCTAGATTTCAGAAATACAGAGGCCTCAAGAGCTTCCGCACGTCTCCGTGGGATCCTAAGGAAAACCTTCCTCGAGATTATGCTCGGATCTTTCAGTTTCAGAACTTTACTAATACCAGGAAACGCATCTTTAAAGGAATTGAGGAAAAAGAGGTTGAAGGAGCTGAGGTGTCTGCCTTCCTTTTTTGACCCTTACAGTTTGCTTTTCTTTGCCAAGATGCCCCCTTCTTTACTCCTTGTCTTGGCAAGAGTACCTTATTTAGTTTTGTACTGCCCATAGCTAAATTAGAGGTGCCACTGAGTTACTGATAAGAGTGGTATTTGGAGCAAAGAGGGATCAGAAATGTTAACTAGAAAAATTTAATCTGGATAGTTGAGGTATCTGTGAAAGGCAGTTTTGAAGGGTGAGGGTTGGCTTTAGGATAGTATGAGACTTTTAACATATTTGGAGAAATGTTTTGTCGTCATTGAGGCCTGAGGGGTAACTGTGTGATTGTTTCCTGCTTTCTTCTGGCAGGTTGGCTGGTATGTCACACTTCATGTCTCTGGAGTCCCTGTCTCTGTGGTTGAGTATTTCAAACGAGGAGCACCCTTAATTGCCTTTTCTTTACTACCTCATGAACAGAAGGTTAGAATCTTGTGGGAATTGAGAGTTGTGAAACTTTCCAACCAGTTTTGTCTGACAGTCTAAAATTTTCTTTATGACTGACATTTTGCTCATTGGATTAGGAATAGGGATGATAGAGAAGTCAATGATGGTTTAACCCAACATGTCTGAACCTGTCTGAAGCATCTCAGTGATGCAACCTGTGTGGCGCTGAGACTTCTCTGAGATAATTGTATTTGTCAGATTAGATTTTAACCAAGGGTTGGCAGCTTAAGAAATAAAGAGGGTTTATGCCAAGTGTAGATTTCTTTTCTCTTGATGGCCAGCAGTCATGTAGGTTGGAGTGTATGTGAGACCTCTGGCCTTTGGTCAGCGAGAGTAAGCGTTGAGGAAGAGAAGGGGCTTGAATGAGTGTGGTTTGAGTGAGTGGCTTGGAGTCACTGACCATGTGGCAGGGGTTGAGCTCTTGCGTATTAGAAATGGGAATGTCAGCTAGTATAGAAGGGTACATGAAAGCTGTGAAAACTATGTTCAGCTCAAATGCCAGTTGTTGGTGGAGGTAAAAGATGAATATGTGTCTCATCATCTGTATCATACCATGAATTAGCATCGTCAGTTCTTAAAGTGAATCTGAGTCTGTTAGTTTTCTTTGCCTTCTTTCAGGTTAAGTTGTTCTAGATATGAAGTTCTCTTTTTCTCATTTCGTCCCTAGATGTCAGTGCTGAATATGGTAGTAAGTCGGCATCCCGGCAACACTGAACCTGTGAAAGCCAAAGAGGAGTTGATCTTCCACTGTGGGTTCAGGCGCTTCCGAGCCTCCCCTTTATTTTCTCAGCACACGGCAGGTAAACAGTGGCGAACTTTCTGGGTTCTTGTCTATCCTGTTGTCTTTTGGGGGACTGTAACTATTGGTGGGAAGGTACAGAGTGCACACTCTCAAATTCTAGGCCTCTGGCTTAGAGGCATTTTCAGTACTCTGGTTGAGGAGCCAATGATGTATTTATTCAAAATGTCTGAACCTGTCTGAAGCATCCCAGTGATGCAACCTCTGTGTGTGGTACTGAGGTTTCTCTGCCATGAGTGTTTGTTCCAAAGTAGATTGTTTTTTTAAAAAATTATTTTACTTATTTATTTTCAGAGAGAGGGAGAAAGAGAGGGAGAGAAACATCCATGTGTGAGAGAAACATCAATCAGTTGCCTCTCACATGCCCCAAACTGGGGACCTGGCCCGCAACCCGGGCATGTGTCCAGCCAGAATTGAACCTTTAGTTCGCAGGTCAGCGCTCAGTCCACTGAGCCACACCAGCCAAGACCCAGAGTAGATTTTTAATCAGAGTTGGCCGCTTTATAAAAATGGGATGTCAAAGTGTGGAACCCTTGGCATCTGATAGACCCATGGCAGTGTTGGTGAAGGCTGGTGGGTCGCCCACAGTTGGATAAAGCAAGAGATGTGTGGCTTCTGAGATGTTGAAACTGGGTAAGTATTTGGAGAGTGGTGACCAGGGTCGCTTCTGGGACACAAATTATTGTACTACATATTAGGAGTGGGAAGAGATTTTGTACTAACTTTTAGGCTTAGGAACATCACCTACCCACTCTTAGCAATGGCCAGGGGAAGATGATGAAGGCAGTGTTAATGGGAACTCTGGGCAATTTCTGTTCTTACCAGCCATGCTGTCTAAATGAGGGATTAACTGTTCTTTCCCTTAAAATATTTTATTTACCTATACTTTAGTATTAAAAAAAGGAGGAAGGTTTCATCGGAGGTAAAAACAGAAGCTTCAGATAATCTCCAAGATCAGAGGTCAGCAAATTATGGCCCTTGGGCCAAGTCTGTCTCACTGGTTGGAAAGTTGGAACGCAGGTTTGCCCTTTTTTTTTCCCCCTCCCTAAATATTATCTTGGCTGTCTTCTTGCTAGAGTGACAGAGCCGAGTAATTGGAACAGAGACTGCATGGCCACAAAGCCTAAAATATTTACTATCTGGCCGTTTATCGAAAATGTTTGGCAATCCTCACTCAGGACTAAGAGCTATTGATTTGGTGGACATATTCTCTATAAAGCACTGATTCTCAAATGAGGTAGGGGTGATATGTATTAGAATCACCAGAGAACTTTTTCAAACAGAAAATATAGTCCAGGCTCCAGGGATCTGTCTCCAGTTGAAAAATCACTAATAGAGGTGGGTCATATCTTTCAGGTGTATTGAGGCAGGAAAATATTTTGAGATCTAGCAGAGTGAAGAAACACAAGTTGCCTTAGGTATAAAAGTTGCAGAAATACAGCTTTTCACAGGCCCCTGGATTACCTATGGTTCCTTAACATGTTTTTGGTTTTTATTTTTTTAACTTTTACTATGACAGCGGATAAACATAAGTTACAGAGATTCTTGACTGCTGACACGGCCCTGGTGGTGACAGTGTATGCCCCAATCACTTTTCCTCCGGCATCTGTGCTGCTTTTCAAACAGAACAACAATGGTAAGTTGAGTTCATAGAGGTAAACAGACATGCAGGTCCCTAATCGATTTAACATGGTTTTCTGTATTTAGCTTGGGGAACCAAATGGTATGAAGGTGATGATAGTTTTCAGAATGTCCCAGTCTCAGCCTCACAGTGGATCTAAGGCAGGGATGACGAATGGGGTTTGATCTTGCTTGCAAACTTCAGCTCATTGGTAGAGACTGCTCAGCATGCTATATTTAGGACAGGTTTTGGGGACAGGCTCAGCAGGAATATTGCTTAGTGATATTTACCATGGACCCAGGAAGGCAGCATAGTAAATCCATACTTTAAGGTTTCTCTAAGATCTTTCATAGGTGTTTAAATGGCCTGGAGCAGTAAGTGCTTTTGGCCTGTAGACTCCTGCTGCTTTGCTTTTGCCCCTTAGGAATGCACAGCCTCATTGCCACAGGCCATCTATTGTCAGTGGATCCAGACAGGATGGTCATCAAGAGAGTTGTTCTGAGTGGTCATCCTTTCAAAATTTTTACTAAGATGGCAGTAGTGCGTTACATGTTCTTTAACAGAGGTAGGTGTGAAGGTTAGGATCTGGTTGCCTATGTGGGGTGAGGGTTGGGTTTATGTTTTGCGGGTAAATGTCACATCTTGGTCTTCTGTGTGTTTCATTCTAAGAGGATGTGCTGTGGTTTAAACCAGTGGAACTGAGAACAAAGTGGGGCCGCAGGGGACACATCAAGGAGCCTGTAGGTAAGAGAATGTGGTATTTGGAACCTGACCTCGATTTTTGCAATGCTACTAAATGACTACTTGGGTAGAGGACCACCACTAAAATTTTTTATTTTAATTTGATCAGCCTGCTATGTTTTCTTTCTAGGTACTCATGGCCATATGAAGTGCAGTTTTGATGGGAAGCTAAAATCTCAGGACACAGTACTGATGAACCTCTATAAACGAGTTTTTCCTAAATGGACTTATGATCCATATGTACCAGAACCAGTACCTTGGGTGAAAAGTGAGATTTCTTCAAAAGTACCAGAAATGGACATGGAGTAATGGGTTCAATGGGATTCTGTCTCATTGCTACTAAGTTAGCAACCTGGGGATGGGAACCTACAGGTTGTAATTGGGCAAAGTTCGTGTTGTCTACTTTAGCCTAGAAGTCTGCTGTCCCTTTTTGCAAAAGGTTTTTCTTGGCCTTGATAAGGTGTCTTAGTTAAGTATGGATGTTTTTTGACTGCTACTTCATCCAAAAAACTATTAAAATCTTACTGAAATACCTCCTCTCCATTAGGATTTTGAAAGCTGTTTAAGAGGGTAAGATGGTAAGTTAACAGTGACTAGAAAACAAAATTAACAAGTGTCTGGAGACACTGGATCCCTTTCTTATGGATAAATTAAACAAAAACAGATTGGTAAGGAGTTGGCCTTTCAGCCTGCTTCATCCAAGTTATGGAGGTTAAGTCTACATTTCCACCACTGAGCACAATACAAATGTTCTTTACTTCTGGGGAAATTGTTTGAAAATGCTGAGACAAAACAGCAGCCACTCCAACACCAGCTGTAGGTTCAATAAGCAATTTCATCCTCTCCCAGACCAGCTGGGTTGCATACTGTTGGTAGAGAAAGGAGAAGAATTAGTGAAATGGGAGGAGCAGAGCCTAGTTGGTGGACCTTTTCAATGAAAGCCTAATTGATACATGTATGTACATACAGACATACATGCTTGCCAATGAAGAGCTTTGTTGTTTTTTTCTTTCATTCTAACTGCTGCTGGTGAGGGTTTTCCCTGTATCTAGGGCATCCTCCCCCATGTCATGAGTCACCAACTCCCCCCCTCCCCCCGCCCAGTGGAAGGGTTACTACTTTTAAGAGATGTATGTTTTGCTTAAAAAGGCATTCCACTCTTTTGTTACTCTTTCCTGTTGGAGCCTCACCTTAATTTCATCCTCTCTGACAGTGAAGACATCATCCACGAGGTCCCTTATAATAGGCCAGGTGTTTGAGCCAATGCTGGATTTGACACCATCTGCTATGGTTTCTGGAGGACAGGGATTGGGGGTCAGTTCCCCTTTCAGTTTGGACTGGTAGCAGTCATCTGCATTCAAGGGTTCAGCAGCATATACCTTCACACTAGGTCTCAAAGCCTGGGAAGAGGAATATTAGACATCTCACCACTAGCCACACTGTTTTGCCTGCATGCCTGCAGTAAAATAGGCAGTATAGGTAACATATCTTCAAATAAGAGCCTTCTCTGTGATAGATGTAATGGAAACATGGCTTTAAAGCACTTTAAATTGTATGCCTAATAATGGCCTTCAGTTGCCTGGATCACTTCTGGTTCAGTTGGTAACTCGGGAGAACAGTACCCTCTGGCTTTGATAGGTTGGTGAGAGGGAATTCAAAGAAGACTGATAGGGTGCCACTCATTGTAACTGCTTTTGTGCTGTAGTCACAGATTAAGAAAAAGGGTAGTGAGCCAGAGAAGGACCTTCCATCTCAGGTGCTAAGAAGTGATGGGAAGGGACAGCAATTTAGGGGGAATGTTAAGCACCTACCACAATGTACTATAATGGGAAATAAAATCCTCTGTGCCTAAAGCAGGGAGTTTTCCAGAAGCTGCTTTCTCACCTTAACTGTAATTGCTATTCCAGCAACCATTCCTCCTCCTCCTACAGGTACCACCAGTGCATCTACCAAAGGAACCTTTAGTGAAAAGAATATAAAATAGGTATATTAAAAACCAGTTTTTTAATGTACATATTAAACAGTTGATTCTACAGCCAAAGAGATTTACCCATCTAAATATTATCAGATTTATTACTCCTAACAATAAGAACTGACTAGGCTTACCTGGTTCAGCACTTCCATGGCAATTGTCCCTTGCCCAGCTATCACTGCAGGCTCCTGGTTGGGATGTACCATGATGCCTTCTGTTTCTTCCATAATTTGTTTTGTAACTCTTTCTCTGGACTGAAAGTGCATTAATTTAGCTTTACTTGATTTGTATTTAATAGAGTTTGCATTAAATACAAGTCAGTCATTTAACACTTTATTGGCCATCTACTTTTTTGAGTCTGGGCACTGCAGATAAAACTGAACAAAAACAGTCCCTATGCTCAAGGGAGTTATGTTCTAATACAGTGGAGAGGGGTGGAATATATGAGTAAATATATGGTATGTCTAAGTGCTATGGAGAAAAGTTAATTTATACAGGGTACCTAGGAAGGGGCTCTGGTAAAGTGGTATTGTAATAGATGTGAATCAGCCCTGTGGATCTCCAGAATATTCCAGGGAAAGAAATTCCATGTGTGGAGTGTTTGAGGGAGCATAATGGTAGGATGACATCTGAAGGATAGGAAATGGGCCAGTTCGTCTAGGCCTTAGATGACTGGAAGAACTTCGGTTCCCACTGTGTATGAGGGGGGAAACCATTGGAGGAATTTTGAGCTGACAAGTTCTACGTGGATAGATGGATCGATCTGGTGGTTCTTTGAAAACAGACTAGTGGGACAATGATGGAAACGAGCACGGGAGGCTACTATATCTACATGGTAGTGGTAGAGGCTGTTAGAAGTAGTTGGATTATGGGAATACTTGGAAAGTCATACTGAGATTGGGATGTGGGGTACAAAAGAGTTACCAAGATGAATCCTTTTTTTTTTTTTTTTTTTAAGCAACTTAGAAGGATTGAAGTTGCCATTTACTGAGATGGGGGAAACTGGAAGAAGAACAGTATAGGGTGAATAATACTAGTTTGGGTTTAGACATAGCAAGTTTGAGATGCCTAATTAAGATACCCAAGTGGGAACACTGGGTCACTGTTGGATATACAAATCTGGGTTAAGGGCAGAGGTTAGGGCTGGAGTTAGAATGTAAGTGGGTGATACTTTAAACTATGAGACTAATAAAATAATTTGAGTAAATGTAGATAGAGAAAAGGTTGGGCATGCTAATATTTACAGGTAAAGGGGAATGAGAAGGAGCACCCACTAAGGTAGGAAATTTCACGTGACAGTGACAACTGTTAAGGTGTTACTGAACACTGCTCTCTTCCTCACCTCTTCACTCTGTTCACTGAACACTATAGAAGCTCCATAGGCTTGTATTCCCAGTTTTTTACAGTTGGGAGCTGTCTGAGGCACCACAATATAAGCAGGAATTCCTGAGATGGGGAAATACATTTAGTTAGTACAAATCAGGAGAATTTAGGATAGAAGTTTCTGTTCAGTTGCTTGTAATCAGATATGGACTCATTTACTTTGCATAGCCATCATCAATCTTGCTGAAAATAAGGATACTTTTCCACTTCTAATGATCCTACCCAGTACCCTGAGAAATCAATCAAGTACCTTCCAATTTGGCAGCATAGGCAAGAGCTTGGCCGTGATTTCCACTGCTGTGAGTAACAACAGCTTTGGGCTTTTCTGAAGTGGCAGGAATCAAACCTCTGATTGCATTAAGGGCACCACGAAACTAGAAAAAGAAGAAAGTGAAATGTATGTATTTGATTAAAGTTTCTTTTCAAAAAACCAAGGAGCTTTACTAGATTTTTCTCTTCCTAACACTACATCCAGTCCATTACTAAACCAATTCTACTTCCTAAATAATCTCACATGTGCATCTTTGCCACTACCTTGGTGAGGCCTCATTTCTTGACTGTTAACCAAACCTCAACTGATCCTGCCTTAAGGATCGTTCTCATCTAGTATTTCCACTAGATTATGAAAGTGATCTTTTAAAAACACACTATCTTTTTCTTTGCCTTTTTTTGGTACAAATACCTTGCAAGTTGCATGCAGGCTTTCAAACTTGTACTGCTGCTATCACTGTTGTAGCCACCTTAAGTAGCTTCTAGTTTCCTTCCTAACAGGTTAGCTCTCACCCCTGTACCTCTGAGCATGCTCATACCTCTACCTGTAGTTCCTCCCCACCCCCCACTTCACGATCTGGTTAAAAGTACTCATCCTGTAAAATCTGCATCAAACATCATCATGTTTAAATTCCCTTGATCTCCCAGGCAAAATTAGTTGCTTCATTCTATGTTCTTTCATGGCATTTTATATGTATCTTAAGACACTTCTCAGCCTATTTGCAGACCAGCCTGTCTTCCCCTGCAAGGTGGATAAAGAGCAAGGCCTACTGTATATATGCCTAATAAACCATGGCAGAAGCAAAGGGCAAAAAAAAAATGGAGAGGTTTTGTTTTGTTACAGTATAAAAGCTCTCAGTTAATGAGTGGGGAAAAAAGGTAAATTGAAGTCCTAGAGCGATCACTTCACAGGTAACTAACAGTACTAAATGCAGCTTTCAGATTTTTACCTGAAAGGATCTTAAAGCTCAACTAATGATTAGAAAATTCAGGCAATGAATCAACAACAGAAATCTATCTTTTTGCATAGGAAAGACACATTGTATAAAAAGATCATATGAGGATATAGTTAGGTTTAGACCTTTTATATTCATAATCTAACAATGAATAGCAAGCTGACGCAAAGTGCTTAATCTTGGTTATACAGTGATCACGCTTGCCCATTTTGCCTTGCGACAGTCCTGAGTGACGTCTGCTGTCTCTGTTTAATCATTAGACGTTCCTCTTTCATTCTCATGTCCTAGTCAGTAGATTATATCATCCTAATTATAAGCAGTTTTGAGATTGTGTAAATGTGGCTTGTCAACACCTGATGCTAAGTAACTAGAACTTGATCAAAGGAAAACTTCTACAACCCTTTCTTCAGCTATAAAAATATATTAATTCTATCTACCTCACTGGATAATCAGGAGGATCAAATAAATTAAATATATGAAAAAGGGTTGAAAAGATACATGACACACTATCAAAAGGGATTTTTACCTTAAAAGATCCAGTTTTCTGGAAGAGTTCACATTTGAAGAAAAGATTGCGCCCTGTTACTTGGTTCAAAACAGAGCTTGTTAGCACTGGTGTGAGGTGGATAAAATCTCGAATGTTGTTATGAGCTTTTTCAACATCAGCAAAGGAGATGCAGTACTGAGCACACATTGTCCTTAAACCTGGAATGAAAAAAAAAGGGTAAAAGCAAAGTCCAAGACAATGTGTTCATTGAAAGGGTTTGGAAAATGTGAAACACAGCTCCACAAAATATACAAGAGTGAACTACACAGTGTAAACTATGGACCTTAGATGGTAATGTGTTAATGTAGGTTCAACTGTAAGAAATGTACCTTCCTAGTGAGGGTTGTTGATAATGGGAGAGGCTATGCATGTGTGGGGCAGGGAGGCTTACAGGAAATCTCTACCTTTGGATCAATTTTGATATGAACCTTAAACTGCTCTAAAAAAAATATTTTGAAAAATACAAGAAAATGCCTAACATAGGAAAATTGGTCTGAGGCCTGTGGTGTTAATGTGGGAACTGTCTCCATTGCTGGGGCTCCAGAATCTTTGTGTAGAAGGGAACTTGTCTTGAAGTTGAGTTTCTTAGTAAATGTAAGTTTTTTCCTGATGAAGCTTTTAAGGAAGTAATAATGATGAGTGTGGAAGGCTTAAGTTTTACCCCTTACCCATACCATCCATCTCTTGACTGCCGCTGGTCTCTACATTTTCATCATTGTAATGAACTGCATTCAAAATCTGCTATAAAATTTTATTTCAAGAAAGTATTAAACAATGGGAAAGATTTCCTACAATCCTATCATCTTAGTAAATTATGCTCATTTTCTATGTTTCCATTTCTTCAATATACATACTTTATATGACAGTTAAAGTCAAAGCAAAAATAACATTTTGTATACTCCATTTGGCTCAGTCTCGTCAAATTAGTTATTTCATAACTATAATTTTCAATAACTGTATTATGCTTCCATTTTCACTACTTTTATTGTAGCATTTAACCATAAAGTTTCTTTTTGTTTTTCCTTATTAACTGACAAACACAAGCAATGCATGTTCAATGGAAAAACAGAATTTAATTTGCTTCCTCCCCAAAGACAATTGCTATTTAAGCTCTGGTGTTTATCTTTCCAGGCTCACATATACATGCAAACAAAACTTGACATGTTTGGTAACTGGTTTTTTTTTGACAATATAATGAATATTGATCTTTGTTTATCAATAGGTATATTTATGCAACTTCTTAAACAATTTATTACTTTTAGGGAGAGAGAGAAATATTGGTTTGTTATCCACTTATTTATTGCTTGATTCTTGTATGTGCCCTGACTGAAGATTGAACCTGCAAACTTGGCATATTGGGATGATGCCCTAAAACAATTAAGCTACCTGGCCCCAAGGTTCATACATAGAGTTTAAACTTTTAAAATGGCTTAATAGTACTTCTTTAAAAAAAACCCCACAAAATATAGTTTTACATAACTATATTGTTGAACATTTAGATATTTTTTTGTCCATAATAAATAATGATGTAATGAATAATAAGAGTTGTTGCACGATCTTTGTGTATCTCCATGCATGCTTTGGGTAGAGTCCATCCAATGGTATTTTGCATCAAAAAGCATGCACACTTCTAAGACATTAGATACCCACCCTCACTGCCAAACTGATCCCCAGAAGAGTTGTAGATTATACCATTTTACACTTCCAACAGCAGTTTCTAAGGAATGTCCATTTTCGTTCACCTTTGCAATATCATTTTTATCTGTCAATTTAATGAAATGTCTAGTAGTCTGAATTTCCTTTTCTTTAAACAGTGATTGAACATTTTTTTTCTGTGTACCTATTGGCCACTTATTCTTTCATGAATGTTTAGCACACTGTTACTGACTGAATTGTCTTTTTTTTGAAATGCTGTATTTATCAAAGTTAAATTTTTATTAAATGTTTGGGCTTTTCTGGACTTCATATTTTGTTCCATTTAGGAGACTGTTGATTCCTTTTCAAGTTGTTCATTGTATTATGTTCTTCCCTGATTACTCTCTTGAAAATTTGTTGGCTTTTCTCACAAATAACTCTTTCACAGGGATGTTAGACATCCATTATCAAGGTTGTCAGAAATACCACTGTAAAGTGAACAGATGAATTGGGGGTGCAAATGACATTTAAAAATAGTCTTCCTGTCCACAAACATAGATGTCTTTCAGTTTGGTAGTGTTTTTGTTTTAGGTTTCTTGGTAAAGTTTTTATATTTGTGTCCTCTACAGATACGATTAAATTTATCCCTAAGTACATTTTTGTTGTTTTTGAGGTATTTATTTCCTTAGATTTTTAAATTGCTTACTGATGACGTATATAAAAGCTAATAATTTTGCAGTTATCATGTAATGTATTTAATAGACTGTTTTGTTAGATCTAATAGTTTTATAGTTCATTTTCCAAATAATCATTTTATTTGCAAATAAAGATAATTTGTTATTACCTTATGAATATCCCTCTGGTGGCCCTGACCAGTGTGGCTCAGTTGGTTGGGCGTCATCCTACAAGGCAAAGGGTCGCCAATTGATTCCCGGTCAGGGCACACACCTGGGTGGCAGGTAGGGATTGATGTTTCTCTCTTACATCAGTGTTTCTTTTCCTCTCTTTTTCCCTCCCTTCCCTCTCTCTAAAAATAAATGAAATCCAAAAAACAAAAAGCAACCCCCAAAACAACCAACCTTTAATATATCCCTCTGGTAACTTTTTCAGTGACTTCATAGTTACTGGTTTAGTGTAGATTTGCCACCACCTCCTGAATTAATTTCAGTGACATTTTTGGCTAAATAGTATCTAAAATTTGTATAAAATTATACACATTAATATTTCTAAGTATTCTTCGTATCTGTGGATGTGTGAGGCTTTAAGGAGGAAAAGAGGTTGGCATATTGCAAGAACTAAAAGGAGGCCAATGTATCTGAAAATAGTGATCAAGAGGAATGTGATAAGAGGTAAGAGTGAAGTTGGCAGGGTCTTGATCATAAGGGACCATGACTGATGGATTTTTTAAAAAAATTTTTTAAAGAGCAATAGAATGCCATTGGAGAATTTTGAATAGGTAAGTGACATGTTGGAATTTATATTTTCAGAAAAATCACTCTGGCTATATTATGAAAGAGAATGACACGGAAAGAGACAAGAATGGAAGCAGGCAATTCAGTTAAGTAGTGTTAAGAGTTGTCCACATGAAAGACAAGAGGGACTGCTACTTGGATGGTGAAAGTGAAGGTAGGAAAAAAAACCCACTAAAGATACATTTTGGAAAAACAAACCTGATTAAAAAATGAGTGAGGCCTGACTGATGTGGCTCAGTGGGTTGGGCATTGTCCCGCACACCGAAAGGTCGCTGGTTCAATTCCCGGTCAGGGCACATGCCTGGGCTGTGGTCCAGGTCCCTGGTTGGGGATGAGTGACAGGTAAGTGATCCATGTTTCTTTCTCACATTGATGTTTCTCTCCCTCTTCTTCCCTCCCTTCCCCTCTCTAAAAATAAGGAAATAAAATCTTTAAAAAAATGGGTGAAGGACTTGAATAGACCTTTCCAAAGAAGATACACGAATAGCCAACAAGCATGTGAATAAAGATGCTCAACATCACCAATCATCAGGGAAATGAAAATCAAAACTACAATGAGATACCACCTTATGCCTATTAGAATAACTATTATTAAAACAAAGAAAACAGAAAAATGACAAGTGTTGGCAGGGATGTGGAGAAACTGGAGGTCTTATGCACTCTTCATGAAAATGTAAAATGATGCAGCTACTATGGAAAATAGCATGGTAGTTAATAAAAAAATTAAACATAGATTTACCATATGATCCAGCAATTCCACTTCTGGGTATATACTCAAGAGAATTCAAAGAGGGTCTCAAAAACATATTTGTACACCTAGGTTCATAGCAACATTATTCACAAGAGCCAGAAGTGGAAGCAACCCAATTAATTTTTTTTTTTCCTTTGTATTGATTCCAGAGAGAGGGGATGGGAGGGAGCAAGGGAGAGAAACAACGATGATTGCCTCTTGCAGGTGCCCTGACTGCAGACTAAACCTGCAACCCAGGCACATGCCCTGACCAGGAATCAAACCTGTGACCTTTTGGTTTGTGTGATGATGCCTAACCCACTGATCCATACTGGGCTAGGGCCCCAAGTATCTATTGATAGATGAATGAGTAAACAAAAGCTGATATATACATATATTGGAATGTTATTCAGCCTTAAAGAAATGCTACATTGTTCATGCATGTTACAACATGGACAAATCTTGGGGATATTATGCTAAGTGAAATAAAAAAGACACAGAAGGCCAATACTTATGATTACACTTATGTGAGGTACCTAGAGGAATCAAATTTATAAAGTAGAATGGCGGTTGCCAGAGGCTTGAGGAAAGGTATAGAATTAGGGTATAGTTTCAGTCTTGTGAGATGAAAAGAAATCTGGAGATTGGTTGTATAACAATGTGAATGTATTAACACCATTGGACTGTACATTTAAAAATGGTTATGATGATATATTTCATATTATTTGTATTTTACAATTAAAAAACACACACAGAAAAAGTTACATTTTGGAGATTATAATTAGGCCTCTTGGCTGCAAGTGAGAGAACCCCAATTTGAACTCTCTTAGGCACAAGATAAAGGTGATGAGATTTATTGGCTCATGGAACAAAAGGAAGAATTAAACAATGGGAAGGGTAGGGATATGGACCTTCAGGAACAACTGGAACCACAGATTTGAGATTTTCCAGGAGTCTGATTGTTTCTCACTTCTGCTGCTTTCTGCATGTCAGCTTCATTCTTTTTCTTTTTCGTTGTAGATCAGTTCCACGTGGCAGGATGCATGGCTGCTGACAACTCCTGTGTTTTACATTTTATGGCTTCCACACCGAAGAGGGATTTTCTTAGTTTCAGTTCAAAAAATACTGGGTAAGGACTCTGATTGGCCCATCTTGGCCCAGGACCAGTGGCCAAGGGTGTGAGGTCATTTAAAACAATACTATGCAGCAGTCAGAAGTATGTACAGAAACATGAAAAAGAAACAGAATGATTTCTACAATACAATATCAATTATGTACATTTAAAACACATACATACATGCATAAAGTACTATATATTACTTAAAAATATGTGTATCCAAGGACACATTTCAAACATACTAGAGCGATGACTTAAGTGGGGAGAGTAGGAACATGAGTTGGAACTGGAATGAAGGGAAAAAAGATAAAATGAGAAAGGCATTGATGATGTGAACCAAACAATATGATTGCCTTAAATTTCTGCACATGAGGGAAAAATAGGAGCAAATGAAGGGAATGAGGGAGTGAGAAGAAAATAAAAGAGAAAGACAAAAGAAAAAGAGAAAGCATTTCTGAGAGTGAGGGGTAGTTTCTGAAAGAAAAGAGAATGTTGAGGTGAGGAATTCCATAAATGTCCACTACAGAGACAGAAGAGACATATCCTGATATTGGATTGAATGTGGGGAGTGAGGGAGACAAGGACAATTCCTGGGTTTTTGTCTTGTTGGTAATTTATTGAGATATAAGACTGAAAAAGAAATAAGTATTTTAGGAAAATCAGAGGTTTGATGAGCTAAGTTTGAATTCCTTAATGATACATCTGGGAGGATGTTCTTTAGCTTTTTTTGTTGTTGCCAGAAATGTGTCTATTTTAATGTCTACTTTATTCCCGAAGAATGAGCTCTTCAATTGGTTTATCAAGTACTGTTCTTTTCCCCTTATTTCTGATTTTATTTCTTCCTATGTTCCTTTTTTCATTTTTTTAAAATTAATAATAAAAGCACCTAAATATTGCTTTAATAATAAACCACAGGTTTTGTGTGCGATATTTTCATTGACCTTCTAAAGAATTCATGATGTTTTATTTTTTTGACCCATGAATTAATTAAAATTGGTGTGTTAAAAAATTTTCCAAGTGGTTAGAATTTTTAAATTTGTGGTTACTCATTACTCATTTTACTACTTTGTGCTCAGCAATCGTGACCTGTCCAATTTTTGTTTTTAGAAACTGAATTCCTTTCTCCCCTGTTATCCAAATTTGGGCTGCTGTGTTTTTTTTTTTTGATTACTCACATAATGTGACCAAATCCCTACTGTAATAATTAAAACATCATAAAATATATAGACCTTTTAGTCTCTACCATTAAATTGACTATCTTCCACAAAGATAACCACTTTAAAAGTTTGGTATTCTTCCACAGCTTTTGATAAATTTATATAGAAATTTACATATGCAATAAATGGTTTTGCTACACTCAGATAAAGCCATACTCTACATACAGGGATGGGCAAAAGTAGGATTACAGTTGTTTGTATGGAAAATACAATAATTAATACATAATACAAGAATAAGCTGTGTTTCACATACTCACAACTATAAATGTACTTTTGCTTATCCCTGCATTGTTCTGCAACTGGCATTTTTTAAAAACTGACATAACATTTTGAAAACTGTTCCATGTCAACATATATTTTAATTCTTTAAAAAATTTAAAAAAAATTGATTCTTGGAGTAAGGGACAGGAAGAGAGGGACAGAAGGAGAGGGAGGGAAAGAGGGAGAGGGAATGGGGGGAGAGATTTGTGATCGATTTGTTTTTGCACTTATTTTTGCATTTATTGGTTGTGCCCTGACCAGAAACTGAACCCACAATTTTGGTGTATTGGGATGACACTTCAACCAAATGAGCTACCTGGCCATATTTCAGTTCTTTAAACTCAGAAGTCTTCATTTGATAGAGGTCTAAAATATGGTTGTCTTTTCATTTATTTTTAACCGGTATTTCATGAGCCCTTTAAATCTGAGGGTTGAATTTAAATATTTTTTTAAAGATGTTATTTATTTAATTTTACAGAAATGGGAGGGGAAGGATAAAGAGAGGGAGAGAAACATTGATGTGTGAGAGATACAAGGATTGTTGCCTTTTACATGCCCCTAACCAGGGATGTGGCCCATGACCCAGGTATGTGCCCTGACTGGGAATCGAACCAGCGACCTTTTGGTTCACAGGCTGGTGCTCCATCCACTGATATACATCAGCCAAGGTGAATTTAAATCTTAAATTAAAAATTTTTTATCCACTTAGTAAATTGTCTTCTATTATTTCTTTGATTATCACTCAGTCAGTTCTGTTATCACCTTTTGGAGCTCATATTTGATTATTAGTTTTCTGGATCCATTTTCTGTGTTTTCTATCCTTACCTCTAATAGTTTTATCTATTATATTTTCACTGAGTTCTGGTAACTTTTCTTAAACTGGTTTAACTTCTGGTATATCTCACCTGCAGTTCACTGACTCTATTGCATTAATTTGGCAACAGGGTTTTTCCTGTTTACCAAAGTTTTCTTCAGATTATTTTTCCATCTTAAAAAAAAACAACAGCTGGATGAAATGTCGTCTCCAATTTTGAACATTTCTCCCTATTTCTTTCTTATGTTTTAAAGATTGTCATTTGCTCTGACCACTCAAACCACTCCCCTTTATTTATTTTGACTTTATTAGGAATACATTTGTTAAAAAATTATATAGGCTTCAGGTGTACAATTCTATAATACATCATCTATATATTATATTGTGTGTTCACCATCCCAAGTCTTCTTCCATCACCATTTATCCCCTTTACCCTCTTCCACCTCCCCACCCCTCTTTTCCTTTGGTCATCACTATACTGCTATCTGTGTCTATGATGCTTTTTCTTATTCCCTTCACCACCACCCCCTGCCCCAACAGGCCTCCAGCCTGCTCCTCTCTAACAGCTGTCAGTTTCTTCTCTGCATCTATGATTCTGTTTCTATCTTGTTAGTTTAAAAATAAACTAGATTTGCCCGGGGCAAGGCGGGGGTCAGCTGGTTGGAGCATCATCCTTACACCAAAAGGTTGCAGCTTTGATCCCTGGTTAGGGCACATACCTAGGTTGCAGGTACAATCCCCGGTTGGAGTGGGTATGTGTGGCAACCGATCAATGTCTCTCTCTCAAATCAATAAAAATATCCTTGGGTTAGGATTAAAATAAATAAATAAACAAACTAAACTAGATTCATTATGTTCCACATATAAGTGAAATCATACAGTACTTGACTTTCTCTGACTGGCGCATTTCACTTAGCAGAAATGTTCTCCAGATCCATCCATGGTTTTGCAAAAGTTAATATTTCCTTCCTTTTTTATGGCTAAGTAGTATTTCACTCCCTTACTTTTGGACCAGTGAATCTTTTTCCTGTATCTTACTGACTTTCTATGTCTATTTAACCTTCTGCTGGCAAGTGTCTGTCACATAATAGGAACTGACTGCATTTTGACATATATTATTCAGATCCTTTAGGCCCCCTCTAAGGAATAATTTGTAACTATTTAACGCAGGGGTGTCCAACCTTTTGGCTTCTCTGGGCCACACTGGAAGAAGAGGAGTTGTCTTAGGCCACACATTAAATACACAAACACTAACGAAAACTGATGAGCCAAAAAAAAAAAGGTTTTAAGTACATTTACGATTCTGTGCTGGGCTGCATTTACAGCCATCCTGGGCCTCGGGTTGGACACCCCTGGTGTAGAGGTTCAACAGCCTGCAAGGGATTGGAAGGGGCAACAGGTGGGGGAAAGCAGCAGCCTTGGGTCAGGGCGTTTCATCACCGTACTGAACAGGAGCTCCTGAACAAGAAGTTAAAGTACCAGACTCCTGATCCAGTTATATTTTAAAGATTGGGGGGTGAGGGGGCGGGGTAAGAAATCAACCTGAGCTCCAGGGAAGTCAAATAGTTTAGTAGTTTTTCCAGTCGTACAGCAATTCCCAAACCAACTTATAATACCTCCTGATTTACTTCCACACCAACCCTTCCCGCAGCAAGAGCCAACTACACTGTATTTTTTAATCAAAAAGTTGAGAGGTTTGGGGATGTACTTTGCCATAAAGGAGAAGACTTTTATCTGGTATCAATTGTGTCACCCCAGGTAATTTAGTACGGTTCTCTGGGACTTGTTTCCTCATATTTGGGGGAGAGGGAAGTGGGGATAACAATAATTATTTTTACAAGATCTTTAATATCCCAAAATAAAGGCCTGGGGCACTAGTCCGGGCCTGTGGTGGGAGACCCTGGCCTAAGATGAGTAGAAGAGGCCGGATTGTTGGATGTCTTCGTCAACCCGAACCCCGGACAAGCACCAGTATCCTCGATGACCGCCACAGCAACGGCAGCAGCCACCGCCCGCCTGGCCTGACTCGGCCCGGCTTCACCTCACCTCACAGGCGCCGCGCCTCCAGCTCCAGCCTCAGCTCACCTTCCCCCGACCACGCCTCTGCGCATGCGCGGCGCGCGCCTCCCACGCCCAGGCTCACGTTCGGTGTCTTCCCCGCTGAAGCGCCTGAATGCTTTTCCTCCCATTGCGGCCACCGTCGTTTCGGGAGGAGGACGGGAGGGGGCGGGGAAAAAGGTGGGAGGTGGGTGAGAGCGCGCGCCGCCCGTCCGTAGTGGTTTCCTGGCTGCGCGCGGCGGTGGTGGAGTAGCTGCAGCTGTTGCAGCAGCGGCGAAGATGGCGGAAGGGTTGGAGCGTGTCCGAATCTCCGCGTCTGAGCTGCGAGGGATCCTGGCCACTCTGGCTCCGCAGGCCGGGAGCAGAGGTGAGTCGCACCGCCCAACTCCTGGGCCGGGCCTGCCCGCCCCGCCTCCCTCTCCTCCTCTGCCTCCTCCCGCTTCGTCTGCGGCGCTCCGGAGCCCCCGCCCCTTCCCCCAACTGTGGGGGCGGCGGGCCAAGTGCTGTCCTCCTCGCCCTACCAGCCCCAGGGTCTGTGTGGGGTCCCGCTCCGCCAGTTCTGGCCCGCTTCGGACGAGTCCAGCCCGAGTGCCTGCCTCCGCCCCCTTTCTTACAGCGAAGGTGACTGTTCCCCCATTGCCCCAGTCTTCTCAGACCAGTCAGTGGATTCCCAGCCGTCAGGAGACAGACAAGAAAAGGAGTGGGCTTGGAGTCTGGTGGAGGCCCCGGGGCGTATCGTTCGCAGAGGAATCGTCCGCAGGCCTGCCCCGTCGTCCGTTTAGCGTTTGAGAGAAGGAACTGGGGGAAATTGTGGAGGAAGGTTTAATAGTTTGGGACTTCCTTGCTGAACTTTTTTACCTCAAGGCAGGCTTCTTGAAGACTGCGCCACTGAGGGATCCAGAACCTCAGAGAGTTGACTGTACTCTTTTTTGGTTTTGGCATGTGTGGGACCTGTTTTTATCAGAGAGAATGCTCAATTTGCAAGTTGAACTCTCCAGCCACACCGGGAAAGCTCCTACGAGGATTCCAGTGTCTCCCCTCTTTTGTTAGGCAGTGGAGTTGTGTAGAATGGTAGCTATGTTTCTGCAGACCTGTGGCCAAAGTCTGTAAAATGGTTTTCGTTGGTCAACTGAATTGAATTACTCAGGTTGTTTTCTCCATCTGCTGTGGAAAACAGTAGTAGTAACTCTTCTCCCTGCCTCCACTTCATCTAAATTACAAAGACGGCCGAGAGTGAGCTATTCTGGAGTTAAACTCATTTATTCATACTCGACGAAACAGTCTTTTAAACTTCTGAAAATACTGGAGCAGTATCTTAAACATGAGTTTTTTTTTTCCCTTCTGGTTTGTTTCGCTCATAGGTGTAAATGCTGCAACATATGATACCTATTATGGGTTTGTTTACATTGGTGTTTATAGGACAATACTAGGATTTTATACAGGATTCCATTTTGTGTGCTCTATAATCTCACTAATTCCTGTGACTTTCCCACTGAAATATTTGTGGCTCTTTGTAGTTGTCTCTCCCCTTGGTAGATAAAAGTAACAGAAACAAAAAGTAGAAGCTTTGTTATCTGTTATTAAGTAAGTTGATGGAGCCTGAAGAGTGGTTTCTAAAGTCCTGTGCTCTTATTGTTATTAAAAAAAATTATATATTGATTTTAGATAAGAGAGAGAGAAACACTGATTTATTGTTACACTTATTTATGCATTCATTGGTTAATTCTTGTATATGTCCTGACCGGGGATCAAACCTGCAGCCTTGGCATATTGGGATGACATTCTAACCAACTGAGCTACCCAGCCAGGGCTATGTGCTCTTACTCTTAAGTTCCCCCAGTCTTTTGTATTTTGAGAGCATGTCACAATACTTTCATCATCTTCCAGGGAAAGCCCTCTTGTGCAACTTTTTCCTTCTCATATTCCATCATCATAGTAGCAGTTAGTCTCAGTATTCCAGTGATGATAGTCTGAGCAGTATTTCCTTGGAATAACTGTTGACTGCTGCTAGAGAGTTGGTGAGCATGAGTGGAGTTGAAGAATGTGAAAAGAACTACTTACAGTTTGCTTCTATAGGAGGTATATGATTGGATAATTGGTATACTAAAGAAGATTGTTCTGGACTATTAGTATGTTAAAAGGACTTAGCCACTCTGGAAAAACATTAGAGGCAGAAGGAGAAAAGACTAAGGTTGATCTTAGGGCTCTATGGTAGAGAACAGTCTAATGCTGAAATGTTTGGAAATCTTTTATTCTGACAGCAATGGGGTAGGTTAGTGTCTTGGGGATCTGAATATGACTTGGTAACGCAGTATCTTTTTTTCATGTTTCCTTATCTGGGGTGTAGGTAACTCCAACACAAGTTCTTAGCCTTGCCAGTTGCTGAACAAATATTGTCAACTTAGTAGACTTTCTGTTTCTGCAGAAATTTCCTTCCTTGTCCATCAGTAATAGCATTTTGATGTGTAATTCTTGCTTGACTTTTCTGTTAATTTACCAGAATGACATTTTCGCCCTTTCCCTCTTCCTTTACTCTTTTCTTCTGCCTTTTCCTCCCCATCACTTTCTCCAAAATCACAGAAAACATGAAGGAGCCCAGGCAACGCAAGGATAATAGGCGCCCAGATCTGGAAATTTATAAACCTGGTCTTTCACGACTAAGGAACAAATCTAAAATCAAGGAACCCCCTGGGAGTGATGAATTTAAGGATGAAATAATTAATGACAGAGATTCTTCTGCCATTGGAAATGGTACACAGCTCATTAAAGATGTCTGCAAGAAATTGGACAACCAACAGCAAAATGGTCCTGTGGACCCAGAAGATATTCAAGCACAGGAGTCCATTCCTAGGACTGTTGGGCAAGAGGATCGAAGTCTAAGAATTATCAAGAGAACAAAGAAACCTGACATGCAGATCTATCAGCCCGGAAGGCGTTTGCAGACTGTTTCCAAAGAATCTACCAGCCGGGTGGATGAGGAAGAAATCCTCAACCAGGTGGAACAGCTAAAAGTAGAGGAAGATGAATGTAGGGGACATATAAAAGAGGAGGTTGTGAATAAACCAGACAAAAATGAGGCACACAAGAGCCTAAATTGTGACAGAGTGAGGGCTGCAAAGGGAGAAAAAGGAAAGAGGACCGAAAAAGGGGAGGGGATGAAAAAAGTGACTGAAGACCCGGCACAGGCGAAACTGGGTTCTGCAAAACGGTATTCCCGCTCAGACAAACGAAGAAACCGCTACCGCACTTGCAGTACCAGCTCAGCTGGTAGCAACAACAGTACTGAGGGGGCCGGCCTGACTGATAATGGATGTCGCCGTCGCCGCCAGGACAGGACCAAGTTGAGGCCACGACTGAAGAAGCAAGTGTCTATGTCCTCAACTGACTCTTTAGATGAGGAAAGAATTGATGAGTCTGATGGGCCCAGGAGGAGCTCAGAAAGGAAGAAACATTTAGAAAGAAGCTGGTCTGGCCGTGGGGATGGCGAGCAGAAAAGCAACGGTAAAGAAAATCGAGGTACTCTTCGTGTCACTTTCGATGCAGAAACCATGAACAAAGATTCCCCCGTGGTGAGGTCAGTCAGGGAGGATGTGGATAAGATAAAGCCTGACAAAAGCTTGAGCAGTGGGAGCAAAGGCTCTGAGAAGCAGGAATCCAAAAACCTGAAACAAGAACTTCGGGGTCGTGGCCGTGGCATTCTGATTCTTCCTGCCCATACCACCCTATCTGTCAATTCACCTGGTTCTCCAGAATCTACACCTTTGGGACCTCGGCTTTTATTTGGATCTGGTAGTAAGGGATCTCGGAGTTGGGGTCGAGGAGGCACCACTCGACGATTGTGGGACCCAAACAATCCTGATCAGAAACCTGCTCTAAAGAGCCAGACGCCCCAGCTACATTTCTTGGACACTGATGATGAAGTCAGCCCTACATCTTGGGGTGACTCACGCCAGGCCCAGGCATCTTACTATAAGTTTCAAAACTCTGACAACCCCTATTACTACCCCCGGACACCAGGCCCTGCTTCCCAGTATCCTTATACAGGCTATAGCCCCCTGCAATACCCAGTGGGTCCTACAAATGGTGTGTACCCAGGGCCTTACTACCCAGGCTACCCAACTCAATCAGGACAGTATGTTTGTAGTCCTCTCCCTGCCAGCACCATGAGTCCTGAGGAGATGGAGCAGCACGTGAGGAACATACAGCAACAGGAACTACATAGGCTTCTTCGGGTGGCTGATAACCAGGAACTGCAGCTCAGCAATCTGCTGTCCAGGGACCGCATCAGTCCTGAGGGCCTGGAAAAGATGGCTCAGCTTAGGTATGGTGTGTTCCATCTTGGCTGAAGGGAAATGGGGATAAGCTGGGAGGTGTATAGGCTCCTATGGCTGAGGAAGTTAGGAACCTTTTAGGTAAGCCACTGGGTGTTATCTCTTTCTCACATTGATCTTTGTAAGGGAGGGGCAGTTGAAAAAAAAACCCTGAAAATTTTTTTTTTAGTGTTAGAAATTACTATCCTTCCCACTTTTTTTTTTTTAAGGAAAAAAATTAACCTTAAGAGAACATGGAATGTGGAAATGGAAAAGGAAAGACTTTTCAGAATGCCAAGAAATGAACAACATATAACTTGTGAAGATCTTATGTCAGCTGTTAAATTTAGGTGGAGGCATATGGGGAAAAACCTTTACTAGACATAACTTTTTAAAATGGCATTCTATTGTGCAGAAAAGAAGCTAGAATGATTACTATACCTGGTGGCATTTTGGATTTCCTACCAAGGAAGATGTTTAATTTGCAGGAAGCTCAAATCTTGGGTCTAGCCTCTTCTGTGGTGTATTTGGAGCTAGAAGTTGCATGTATTTTATTCCAGAGCTGAACTGCTGCAGCTATATGAGCGCTGTATTCTATTAGATATTGAGTTCTCTGATAATCAGAATGTGGATCAGATCCTGTGGAAGAATGCTTTCTATCAGGTGATTGAGAAGTTCAGGCAGCTTCTCAAGGATCCGAATATTGATAACCCCGAACAGATTCG